GTTTGTCTACAAAATTGGTATCTACGTAGAAAATATTTTAGTTGTCCTTTTCCTAGAAGAGATTTTTCTTAGTTGTCATTTTCATACAAGATTTTAGTTGTATCTACGTAGAAAATATTTTAGTTGTCATTTAAACCGAAATTGGTCAATTTATGTAGAAAATTTTGTTACTTGTCATTTTCAAAGTGTTTTCATTTTTTTTTTGACAAACACCATTTGCTACAAGTACTTTCTTGCAAAGAATTTATTACAAAGACTACTTTCAAAGAAAAATTCTTACTCCCTAATTAGTATCTCGAATAATTGTGAATTGAATTAGTATCCCTAATAATTGTGAATTACAGCCTCCATTATCTTCTTTCGAGGAATCCCCTTCAACTTAAGTTTCAATCACCTTTTAATTCCCATCACCCGCTACTAGTCAAAAAGAGGCCCATTTATAATTCTTTCATAGCCTCCAAATCGTTCAAAAATAAGAATCCAGCCCAAGTAACCTTCCTTTTTAAACTGATCCAACCCCACTTTGTGCATTATTTCCTCCAAGGTTTCCATCTCTCTCAAATAGTGCAATTTAGTGCTTAAGTTCATCAATTGTGCAACCAATGTCCTTCTCGAATTCAAACTTGTGGAATTTGATACCAAAAATAATAGATTTCCTTCGATTTTGTCATTCTTTCTTTTCAATTACTTCAAATGAGTCGATCACTAAAAACATAAATAAAATTAATCTAAGTTAAATCGAAATTAATAATGCGATGATTTAAAAGTTTAATAATGTGATCTAAAAAAGTGCGCGCACGCACGCACACACACACACATATCCAAATACATTTTACAGCTTTATGAACATCTCACATTCCCAAATCAAAAGTAGAGACTGTGTGTTTGTGGTGCTTTCGGCTAAAGCGTACATCTTAGCCCGAATTTTTCGCTTTGATCAAAGCATGTGCCTGGAGCTTTGAGATCATCCTCAATAAGTTACACTTCACAAAGCCCCTTACATTCCTAAAGTAAGAGTTGAGAACAAAAGTTAGCCTGAACTTGCCGCTTCGACTGAAGCACATGCTTTAACCTTTGTGGTCAACCTCGATTGATGTGTGTGACCAAGTCCCTGAGCACAACACTTCAACTAAAGTATAAAACAACCTTTTCTATGCAATTTTTCAGTCGAAGCATGTATTATGTGGCATGGGTATGATCGAAACACAACCTCGATCAAAAGCACACACTTAGGTAGGGACATGGAAAAGGTTGAGTTAATGCACTCGAGGACTATTAAAGTAAGGGACAAAAAGAAGAAGAAAGAAGTGCCAAAACTCGAACATGAAAGCAAGTCTTAAAACCTTACATAAATGATAACACCTTACGTGTCACTTCCTATAAAAGCCATGTGGAGACCAAGTTGAAGTGGATAAGTCAAGTCCTATGAGCCTAAGAAGTGGAGCCTTAGCTATTAAACTGACATTTAACCAAGACTTGAAAAAGGACTAAAGACTGTAACATATGCCAAACATTTGTTAAGTGCAAAATGTCAATAAGTACAAAACCTTAGCTGATGCCCCATCTTATATGGAGTGTTCGTTACCTAGATATAAGGACTTCCAACACATAGTATTTCTTAAAAAAGTAGCAAGCAATGGAGCCATGAGAGGACTAAGCCTAAAATGGCTCAAATGGATTCACTAAAACATCAAATCGCGATCAATGACAAAACCTAACATGTATTATAATCTCAGACTTGGGGGACTATTATTATGCCACCATCTCACATGGAGTCTTATTTGATGCCATATAAAGGTCATGTGGGATGGATGCCACATAAGGGCTACGTAGTGGCTAGGTATATGTGGACAAATCAAAGATGAAACTGACCTTCTAAAGATGAGACCGACACCTCATCTTTGAGGTGCCTACTTCTCAAGGATGATATATACCCCTCAAGTACAAGGTCTGTCCCATTAAGAATGAGGCACATCGCTCAAGGATGAGGCCTACCCATCAAGGATAAAGTCTACCCCTCAAAGATAAGATCAATCCGTGATGATGCATTCTCTTTAAGGATGAGGCCTACACATGATGATTCCTATCCCTCAAGGATAAGATTGAACTTAATGAATTCTTAGCCTAAGTGATGAAGCTTTGGGCAAGGGCTTGTATTAAATGACGAGACCAATGCTTAGGCAGCAATAATGAGGCTGAGCTCCGCCTTGAGTAATGAGGTTGATCCCGTGTAATGTGGAGAAAACCAAAGGTTGTGTATCATATTGAACACCTATTAAAATTAAGTGCTAGATGCTAACAAGTATAAGGCCTAAGCCAAGGCCAATGTTGAGGTCTTGATTGAGTGGCACAATATCCTATTCGGCATGTCAGAACTACTGCATGGTTACTTTATATGGGAACATGATGGCGAAAAAGGTGGATTTTCCTTAAATACAAGGAAACATATCGAATGATTGATAGTTGGTATTTCTTCTAGGGATAAAGGCTGGAAAGGGTCTTATTTTCTCACATCAGGTGACTTGGTTCGATCGGAGAATTACCATTTCCCTTCAGCATGGTCATGCAATAAGTATTGCAGATCACTTACATCCAATGCACTTTACTTATTTGAGGTTCTTATTTCATTTCCTTGCAGGTCTTCGCATCAATATACGGCCAGTCCAAGGATTGTTTGTGAAAGAACGCATATCCAACATCCTAGCGATACCAAGGATCAGAGAAATTGCCAATTTCTTCTGTCTTTGGAAGTCATTTCTTCCTGCAGCTCGTGGGAGCATATTTTGGCAAAACCAAGAGGTATTCCTTCCGATTTTCCAAGATATAAGATCTTTATTATAATGGCAAAGAGAGGTCTAGAAATTCTTGGTAATAACCTTTCTATGATTGGTCCATTTAACTCAATCGAACGTGAGATTGTAGATCGAATCATGTCAAGAGTGGTAGGATCTTCGCTTGACGTTTTGCAAAGGAGAAAGGTAAAGGAAAAGTCTAGGAAGATTTCTCATCATATGGTACTAGCTGATACCCCAGTTTCGTCAAATGGTCTTTCGAGCTAGACCGAGCTACCTGATGCTCCATCCTCGTCTATTCGAAAATGCGATCATCCAGGGCCATTGTTGACAGACAATGACTCGATCGTGCTTACCTTTCATTCAGACTTATCCGCATTTTCTAACCCTGAGGTAGTGGCACTTGGCGAATGCCTTTTATTTTTCGAAGATTGAGGGCGCTATGAACAACTTGGTCCAGTAAAGGCAGTCGAAAACACGATGGCTCAGATTTTTCAGATATAATATTTTGTATACTTCTTTGTAGATAACCCTATTGGATGACTCAAACTCATTCTATTGATCCTCGGGACTGCTAGGGGCTATTTTTCAGAAAAATGAAGCTGTTAGGCAGGCTAGGAATGTGCAATCATTGTAGTATGTGAATACTTCGTGGAGAAAATTTAAGTTTGAGGGTAGGGAAGAAAGATGCTGACTTGGCTACTAGAAAGACGCTAGATGAGCTAGCCAAGATGGTTTTCAAGAAGCTTGCATTGAAAGAAGAGCTTGCAAACTTGAAGTGATCTTCTAGGGATTAGATTGCTTCTCTGGAGGATCGTCTAGAGAATTTCCAGCTGGAAATCGAGATAGCCACCAAGGCCTTCCTTATGAATGAGATTACAAGAAAAGCAGACATATCAGCTATGACATAGATGAAGTGATTGCTGATTATGCTGAGTTGTGCTAAATGCTTGGTATGCCAATTATATGAGAGGAGCGGCCCAAAGTTGGGGCTTCGTCTGGCGATGGAATCAAGTATACCGATGATGGGCAGGTTTAGATGCTTTTGGATGTATCAGTATTTGTATGAACATGTTTGAATTCATGTCTTTTCGAACTATATAATTTGTAGACTTATTGGCGTTAATGCGTTGAATTGCAAAAAATTCATGAAGTATCGAACTTAAAATTTTATTTGTAGTACACAAATGTATGACCATAATATTGTAATAGAAATTGGACTTGCTTATCATCATTAAAGATAAAATAGACACATAAAAATATTTTTACAATGGACTTGATCGGTCTAGTCCATCTGATTTAGTAGCTAATGTTGTTAACTATTCTGAAGACATTGAGTCTTCGTTTGGATTGGCCTTATGGTCATGGTAGTCTTATCCTTGTCCAGATAGTATGAAAGTAACCATATGTTCTTCTTCATCTAGATGGCTTGAAGGCAACAAAATGGCCCATACAATCTTATGACTTCATAAGATTTTATGGAGTCATAAAATTGTACGGGGTATTTTTTTCTTCTTGTTGGTTGAAGTATTCTACTATAACGAAAAAGGGGGTTAAAAGCATTAATTTTTTTTGTGGTTTTTTTTTTCCGATGGCATTACACCACTTGGTATAGAGACTTAATCAACTCATAATAGCTCTCTAGCTCCTGAATTGAAAGGTCGCTTCCGAATCAACTAAACAAAAAGCTTTTACCGTACCATATTGACCGGCAGGTTTTTTAATGAAAGAACTAAATCATCGCCCGCATCGAGGAAGATGAAAAAGTATACTTTAATTTTTAATCACTACAGATTCTATAGAGATGATATAAAGTGTAATTTGTCTTGATTTCCGAGGAATCTGAGCTAGCAAGCTCTGGGAATGCTCTTGAACCTCGAATAAAAAATCAATCTCGCCATCTACCAAAACGTCAAGACAACATCCAAAGGTGGCGCTCAGTCTTTTTCATCCAGATGACTTGATGGAATTTACATGCTTATCTCTACTGGCTGGTGTCTGACCTCCAAAATAACTCTTGATATCTATATGGCATCTTCCTCCCCAAGTTCAAAGATTTTCGAATCATCAGTGATGAGGAAAGTCTGACCTTTGATACGTTTCTCCCTTTGGTGATAAGAAAAGTTTGCCATCGGTTCTCCGATACTTAAGTCAGTATGAATTTTGAATGAAAATAAAAATACTAAATAATAAGAAGAGTTAGAAGACTTAAAAATAATATTTGTGGAGGTGGATGGTGTTCCAGCTATTGGTGATATCTCTATCGTCTAGGGTGTATAGCTTAGAGGCTCCATGCCTGAGAACCTTCATGATTAGGTACAGTCCTTCCCGATTTTCTGCAAGCTTTCTGGCACCAACTTCCTTGGTGTTCTGAAATACTCTTTGTAGCACCCACTCATTTTCCTTGAAGGTTCTAGTTCTCACTTGACTGTTGAAATGCTGGGCAATTTTCGTTGATAAGCAGCCATACAAGCTAAAGCTATTTCTCTTCACTCATCTGCCATATCTAACTTATGGCACAATTTGACTTAATTCTGCTCATCGATTGTCCATTCATACTGAAATGTTGGAGTGGCCTATTTCTATTGGTATGACTACTTCCATGCCATAAGCTAATGAGAAGGGTGTTTCCCTGGTAGGTTTTCGAATGGTGGTACGATAGGACCAAAGGACACCAGGCAACTTGTCTGCCCATTTTCCTTTAGCCTCTGATAGTCTTTCTTTAATGCCTTCATGATAGTCTTGTTGGGAGATTTGGCCTGACCATTGGTATGGGGATATTGCGGAGTGGAAAAGTTCAGCCTGATGTTCCATTCTTTACAGAAATTTTGAAACTCAGTGCTTATGAATTGTGACCCATTGTCGGTGACTATTTCCCTTGGGACTCCAAGCCTGCATATCACATTTTTCTAGATGAATTGGATAACTTCACAATGACATACTTTTGAGAGTGCCTTGACTTCAATCCATTTCGTGAAATAGTCTGTGACCGCTAGCATGAAAACTCGTTGTCTTGGAGCAGTGGGGAGTTTTTCGACAATGTCCATCCCTCATTTCATGAACGGCCAAGCTGAGGTTGAGTCGTTCTGGTGGAAGGTAGGAAACATTGGTGAATCGTTGGCATCTGTCACATTTTTTGACATGATTAACAGAGTCGGTCCACATTGTTGGCCAATAGTATGCAGTGGTAAGTGCACGTTGCGCCAAGCTCCGAGCTTCTGAGTGATTACCATATTTCCCTTGATAAAGTTCGGCCAAGACATACTTGACCTCTACGTTGTTGATGCATCAGAGATAGGGTCCAGAGAAAGATATTCTATACAACTTACCATCTATAACACAAAATCTAGCAGCCTTAGCCGTAGTTCATTGAGCTCCATTCTTGTCTATTGACAACTCGTCATTTTGGAGGTATCTGATGATCGGTGTCATCCAGGATTCCTCCTCAATTAAATGGAAACTTTTGTGCTCACCTGGTTTTTGAACCGCTAGCCTTTGCAAGTAAACTACTGGGATTACCTTACTTCGTTTCATCTTTATAGTTGCTCCAAGGCTGGCTAGTGCGTCAACTTAGATATTTTCAGTCCATGGAACTTAAGTGGTATAGAACTCATCAGATTTTTTGTAGAGCTGTTTGACTAACTCTAGGTAAGATGTCATCTTTGTGTCTTTAGCAAGGAAGTGCCCTGGATTTGGGTGACTCTGATCTCCTTCACTAAGACCAGTCTAGCAACAAGTGCTTCTTACTCTACTTCATTGTTAGTTGCCTTGAATTCACACCTAACCGCCCACTCTATCTGATCTCCTTTCGACAATGTTAAGACGATGCCAAGCCCTACACTATTGATGTTGCTTAACTCATCTACCTAGAGTGTCCATATGCCTATTGTCGATCCATCTATCAGGACAAGAGGTTCATTTTAGGCTAAAACCTTAGAGTTAGGTGCAAAATCAGCAATGAAGTTGTAAGTACCTAATATTTTATGACAGTGCGGGGTGTAAAGGAAATATCATATTGATTTAATTCGACGGTCCATTTGGTTAGTCGTCCAGACAACTCAGGTTTGTGGAATATTTGTGTTTAGCGAAAATGATGTCATGACTACTACTGAATGGCTCTGGAAGTAGGCCTTAGCTTTCGAGCTGCACTAAAAGTGACAAGGCTAATTTCTCCAATTGGCTATAGGGTTTCTGCATCTGGTAATGGCTTGCGGACATATTAAATGGGGAGTTGCTTTCCGTCTTCTTTACAGACCAAGACTGCATTAACAGCCGTCTTTGATACTGCCAAGTAAATGTAGAGTTGTTCTTCATCTTTTGAACTTCCTTAATACAAGTCTTATAGCAAGCCTTTGAACTTCCTTAATATAAGTTGGAGATGGAATGTTAATGATTGATTGGATTTGGTCCAGATTTGTCTCGATTCCCCGCTGGTCACTAAGTAACCTAGGAACTTGCAAGATGATACTTCGAATGAACACTTGGACGTATTAAGTTTCATGTTGAACTTCTTTAGAACCTCGAAAGATTGCTTAAGGTGGTCTATGTGTTGCCCTGTAATCAAAGAATTCACTAGTATATTGTCAATGTAGACTTCCATGGATTTTCCAAGTTGATCAGCAAACATGCGATTCACTAGCCGTTGATATGTTTCTCCCGTATTTTTGAGTCCAAATGGCTTGACCTTGTAGCAGAATGCGCTTCACTCTGTCACCAAAGTAATTTTTTCTTGGTCAGTTAGGTGCATCAGTATCTGGTTGTACCCGAAAAAAGTATCTATAAAGCTTAGAAGCTGATATCCAGCTGTTGAGTGGACCATCATATCTATATGTGGAAGAAGATAGTTGTTCTTTGAATATGCATTGTTCAAGTCTGTGAAAATCGATGCAAACTCTCCACTTACGATTTTTCTTTTTAACCACGACGACATTAGTTAGCCAATTTGGGTAGTAAACTTCTCGTAAGGAACCTGTTTCTAAAAGTTTTTGGACATCTTCATTAATGATGCGATTTCTTTCGGGTGCGAGTCTTCTTCGCTTCTGTTTGATCGGAATGTAATAATGGAGATCAACATTTAATTTGTACGTTATTATCTCTAGGTTAACACAGCTCACGTCAGTGTGGGACCAAGCGAAACAGTCATGGTGATCCACGATAAACCTGATAAGGCGCTGCCTAAACACTGGCTCTAGCCTTGCCCCGACTTGAGTTTTGTGTTCTAAGAAGTCAGGGTAGAACTGTACTTCAACTTGCTCTTCCACATCTGGTTGGTCTAGGATGGACGGCCGAGATTGCCATAATTGCTATAAAGGAGATCAGTCAGAGCGTAGTGAATTTTTGTAACACTCTCTGGAATCTCTTTGGTCACCAATAATCTCTTTTATGCCCCATTTGGTCGAGAGACGGAGTACCTGATGAAACGTTGATGGTACGGCCTTCATTTCATAGATCTAGGGCCTCCCCGAGATAATATTATTTGTTGACAGGCTATTCATTACGAGGAATCAGGTGTGGAGGTTAAATCCTTCTGCATACATGGGCAGAACAATCTCGCCTAGAGTATTCTTTTGCTTACTGTTGAAACCGATTAGCATTGTCGTTCGCGTGTAATGTTTTCTTTTGGAATTTCCTTAGCCTTAATGGTTTCTAGGAAAAGTATGTTTGTACTACTGCCGTTATCTATGAAAATGCACTTGACCAAGCAGTTGGCGATGTTCAAAGATATGACCAAAGCATCACAGTGTGGATTTAGTAGCTGGGTAGCCTCAGATGTTATAAAGCTAATGATCTATGGTGGGTTTGACTAACTTATTTGGTTTGGACTTTGATAGATGTGAGTTGCTTGACGCCCTTGCCTTCGTGTCACTGTCCTTGTTATCCCACTAACTTTCGATCCATCAATGATAAAGTTAATGGTTCGATCATGTAATGGTGCGGCGTTGTTCGGAGCCTTGCTTACCATACGGGTTGTTATTGTCATCTAGCAACGTTCTCTTTTCCTTTATTGGTTAGAAGGTCCATAAGATGTCCCTGCTTCAATAGTTCAACTACTTCTAATCTTAAGGCAATGCAATCATCTGTTTGGTGGCCATGTTTGATGTGAAACTCCCACCATTTACTTTCATCTCCCTGGTCACTAGAGCTTTTCATCTTTTTGGGCAAATTTACTGTCCTGCCCATCCCCTTTAGCACCACAATTAGTTCTATTGGCCTGATAGAGAGGTTGTATTTAGGGATCCCAACCTTTGTTCCTACGAAAGGTCGTTCAATTGGCCTGGGTAGCTGTCTGCGCTTGGTGTTCTTCCTGTCCGAAAGGGAATAAGTATCGGCGGGCTATTTCTCCGCCCTGTTTTGTCATCGTGGCCCTTTTCAAGGGAGTTGACGTCTGGTGAAACTAAAGTTATCATCATCCTCTTTCTATTTACTCTGAGCCCAAATTTTAGCCAAGACATCTTCCATCGTACTGCATGGGTATTTGGTTAGTTCTTTAAACAAATCAGTGTTTGGGAAGAGCCCCTTTCGAAAAGCAGAAATAGCAATTTGTTGGTTGTAGCTAGTAATGGAAACTTTCTCCCGGTCGAATCATCCAACAATTCCCTTAGTGACTCATTTCCTCCATTCACTATATGATAGATGTCATCAGATCACTTTCCAAGTTTTCTGCCGCTTACAAATTGTTCAACAAAAGTATCAGTTAGTTGGGCGAATGATGATATAGAATTATTAGGAAGGTTGATATACCATTGTAGGGCCGACCCTACAAGTTTGGAGCAAAACCTTTTACACATGCAAGTCTCTCGAAGGTCTCTTGGTATAGCGGCAGTAAACATTCTCTGTCTATATTGAGCTATATGATCGTCCGGATCAGCTGTCTCATCGTAGAGCTTCATATTAGGGAAGCTAAACTTTTTGTGCATTTTCACCAAGGCAATTTCATCGACAAAGGGAGAGTCGACGAAACAACTGGTTGCACTCTTTTTGATAGGTGCTGACATTCTTAGGATACGTTGGACCATGGCTTTGATCACCACTAATTTTCGCACGAACATTGGATCTTATCCATTAGTAGGCTGTGGTTGTGCATCTTTAGAACCTGGCAAATTGGACATACGAACCAATGGTCCTAAGTCCATTTTGATCAAGTGAAGGAGTCCGCCGTGATGGACGTACCAAAGTTGAATCGGATATCAAGGATTCCACTCTTTCTTGAGGTTTTGGTTCTCTACACAGATGGCATCATTCTCCGCTTCTAGCTTTTTCAGTTTTTGTGAATTCTATTTTGTCAACTCGATGAGTTGGGCTAGCTATGCAGTAACTTCGCTAGACGGAGCAGTAGGTTGAGAGTGTGTGGAGGCAGGATGAACAGCACTCTGCTGAATAGCTGCCAACTGGATCGATCAGATCGAATGGCTAGACGGTTGTTGGCACAATAGTGGTAGGATGGATAGGACGGACTAACGGTGTAGTGGTTGGTAGAGCAGTAGCATAACTGTCTCCCTGTTGCATTGTTGCTTCCACCTCCTGACGGATCACTCATTATGCTTCTTGACGAGCCATTTCTTTCCAAGTATAATCAGCGAAGCCGTCGGTATGATGGATTTCAGAAGTTCCTGACATGGCGAGGATGATTGGTGAATAGTAATGGTGAGAGTCTAGTCCGTAAGAATGATTGCTAAGGTCCCACAGTGGGCGCTAAATTGTAGACGGTAGATTCTACAACTGAGAAAATCGGATCAAGTAGGCCATTAGCAATCCTGCGGAATTGAAGAAAAATAGAACGAAAAAAATGACTACAATAAGATTTTAAGAGAGCACCGATGTGGTGCCGGCCGAAAACCTTCCAATGATCAAGTTAATAAAACTCGTCAAAAGTTGTATAAATGCCAGATGAAAAGAAAGAAGAAGTGAATTAGAGTAGAGTAGGTTGAGATACCTGAACGCTTGACTGACCACAAATTTATAGGAGTTGGATAACCATCTAGGCGGGATTGGTGGGGATTCTCCGAGATTACGCGGTTGGTTGGAGCTAAATTTGCTTCGATCTGTTCATTTGAGATATCAGAGCCATTTATAGATAACTCTTACCGAATCTGGATAAGTCATAACATGATTTATCTTGAAAATAAATTATTAGAGATTTCGAATTGACATGTGGGTCTTGGATTACGTATTCGGATCGATTGTTATAATGAGTTGGGCCAAGAATGGTGCAGTTGGACCATTCGTGGACCCGATTTTATGGTTTGGGCGGCTTGAACTAGTGAATTAATTTTTACCACTACATTGCACAAAACGTGTATCTTAAGTTAGTAATTATACAAGTGGACAAAGAGATGATGCTCTATCGATTTTTGTGTTTGTCCAAATTTTAAGGTCGACAGCCACAATTATTTGAACCAACACATTTTGCGAGACAAGAATATTTCTATATAAAGGAACTTTGAATTCATAGTTTGTCGGATCGTCCCTTAAGTGCTGCATAATTTTTTACTTAAGTTAAAGCACGCTAGGTTATTTATTCTTGTGGTAAAAGAGATCTGTAGCACAAAACAAACTTTAAAGAGGGCCTTTGTAATTTTTGAATCGAGAAATTACATTGGGAGTATCTCCTTAATTGGTTCCGAACAGTAATTAATTTGGCATGTTCACATAAAAATTAATTTACATTTTTACCTTCAACATGTAATTGTTTCATTTTTTGGTTAGGGGTATGGTAACTAAAGACAGCAAATATTTCCACATGCAATCCGACTTAGGCGTGAGGTCTTACATGTCATGAATGCAACAAAAACTTGGACCTTCGAGGGCAAATGTCATGTGATCTGCGAACTAGTTGTAATGAGTTAAGACCTTATTAAGTTTTCATATGAGCTCTATTTTTGGCGCGTTTGAGCCCCATTTTTATTTAAGAATGTATTTCGAAACGGTAGATTGATGGAGAATGTAAGGTTAAAAAATAAGAAAAAGTTTTGAATTTGCGTGTAATATTATTTTATTAAAAAATGTGTGATTGAAAATAAGAAAGAGAAAAATATACTTTGAAAATAACGGGATCAAACAATGACCTTATTTTTTTTTTTTTGAGAAAATTTGCAATAGTTACATTTTGTATATTAAGAAGATTACGTATTGGTCAATTCTAAACGAGCCCATCTCATTGACTCAACCATAACAAGAATAATGATCTAGGCCTTTCATGGACGATCAAATCAAGTTATCCATTTTTACTGGAGTTTTGAGTATATGCCAATGGTCATTGAAGCCATAATCTTATGGTAACAATCACTTTACACTTCAATAAGAATGTGAAGGTTAAATCTTACACGTCGTTATTAAGTTTTAACATGTCAACACACGACGTTATTTATTACTTCAAGTCAGTAAAATTCGTAATTAATAAATTTGGGTTAACCATACAATTTAAGCTTGAAACCTGACTGAAATTAAAGTTACATTACGTTTTCTTATCTGAATGTGCTTTCCAATTCATCAGTTTTATTGACTTGGCATAATGAGAGCCTGTTTGGGCCCGATTTTTTCACCCAAAAAATTAATTTTTTGACCATTATTTCACTATTCCAACCGTCATATTTGACTTCGTCTTTCACAGGTGGACCCCACTTTTCTCCTAACGGTAAAAAAATCAATTTTTAAAATCACTCCCAAACAGACTCTGAATAAAGTCGTTTGAAGACACGTTGGCAAATCATAAAATTTTCACTATTCTTTTTAATAGAATGATTGCACATGAAACAATTAAAACTAAATAATTTATTACTGTAAAAAAAAAAAAATAATTCTGGTGATCATTGTATTAATTACTCAAAAACTTGGACAATTGACATAATTAACCAAAACCAAACGTATCAATAACTTCAAAGAAAGAAAGACAGCAGCCAGAGAGAGAATAATTTTATTTTTATTTTTATTTTTTATATCGCGCTCATTTGCAAATGCGTAAAAATCCTTCAAGGGAGCCCTAGAACGGTCGAAACATCTAATAATCCCGTTTTATTCTCCAATTACTCTTCTTTTCAATAATTTCAAAATTCTTCGATCCCATTTCTAATTAATCTTAAATCTTAACCATTTTCTCCTCTCTAGGCGTAGATTTTTTGAAAAACCCTAACCCCAAAAATTCGCATCAATTTATACACATATAACTACGTAGAATTCACAGTTTCTGTTGGATTAGGATTTAGCTATGAGTTCAAGAGCGAGATATCCACCGCCGGGGATGGGAGGCGGCCGAGGTGGCGGTACTGGGGGAATGAACATGAATACTGGACCAAACTATGGGTTTCAGCCAAGAAATCCTACTCAGCAGTACGTGCAGAGGAGTCCTGCACCGAATAATCAGGCATTTCAGAACCCTCAGCCACAGCAGTTCATTCGAAGGGCTCAGCTTCCGTCGCCGGCCGATACGGCCGGCAATGAGGTCGACAGGGCCATGCATTCGGAAGCTATAGATTCAAGGTTAGAACCAGGTCCTGCTTTGTTTTACGAAAGAAATTGTTTTCCTTATTAGTCAGTGTTTTTTTTTTCCCCAGAGGTAGGATTATGAGCTTATCAAGGAAATTCTGGAAATTTTTTGAGCTGCAATATTGATTGTGCGATTGGTCTGTATTTGGCTAGTTTTGATTTTATGAATGATTCCAAGAGGAGAACTATCCTGTCTGCTGCGCAATAGTTCAGAAATCTTTGCCTTTCTAATGCTTGCCATTACTTGGTTTCAAATTATTTTGAGCTGCAATATTGAATGTGCGTGGTCTGTATATGACTAGTTTTGATTTCGTGGATGGTTCCGTGTTGATGATAACTATCCTGTCTACTATGCTTTACTTCCAAAAAGTCTACTTATAGTTATTACTATTACTTTGTTTTGTACTCTGAGGAGCTGTCATCTTATTAACCCGAATTCATTTTTTCCTCCGAAGTGATTATGTTTTGTGAATCTTTTTATTAGAAATTGGAAATGGAGCGTGCTGATGATGGATTTCATGAAATTCAAGGATACATTGACAAAACTATGGGATTATACATCTTACTTTAAAAATGCTGGGAAGGGGAATCTTGTTGCTATTTTTTGATTCGCTATTCTTGTTTCTTCCTATGATTTATGCCCTAAGTTCGTCATCAATTTTTTTTTTTCGATTTTTATATTTATATTTATTTTATTTTATTTTTTTGAGTTGAACGTTGTAAAAGCTGCTTTCTGTTTCTTGTTTCTGTGTTTTAAAATTTCTAATGTGTACAAATATTCTTGTTTCACACAATTTTACCCATCATTCTCTATTTTCATCTTCAGTTCACAAGATTGGAAGGCACAATTAAAGCCACCACCATCTGATAACCGTTACAGAACAGAGGTAAAGAATCTAAAGATTCAAAATGTCGTATGTAATTTGCACCTCGTTTCATTTTATCTTGGAATACTTTTTGGTTTAAACTTCGAGGCATATTTTAATTGCTAAAATTTATTGGATAAGGTTACGTGTAAAAATACGTTTGTTTGTGATAATAAATGTAAGGATTTAGAGTCAACAGTGTCAAACAATCTGTTGAAATACAAGTTTTTATTTAGGATTATTTCTCTTAATACTTAAGAGGGATGGATAACCAAGATTTTAGGACCAAAGAAAAAATATGAGGCATTAGCCAAATGTGACTTAACAGATAGTCGTTTAATTGTACTCAATTTTTCTCAATGTTACTAAATTTGGGGCTGTTCAACCCGAAATTGGGAACTGGGCGAGGAGTTGGTCCATTTATGTGTTATAAATCGGATATAGAAAATTTGGTAAAAAAATAAATACTCAACTTACCAGTTCACAGTTGAACTGGCTGAACCAGTCATGGTTTTCCCAACTTAAACGGTTGTCTTCCAAAAAATTTCACAAGCCTCACCATGCCAGCTTTATGACCAATCAGTATCTATTACTCCTTTTGAAGATGTTTATTCTCTAATCTCTTTAGTGGTCTTCCACGGGGACTAACTATAAAGTGTCCCATCCTACTACCTCCAGCGAAGTAAATTTTCAATGTTTGCCACCTTGCCTTATTCTTTATTTTCTTTATTTTATTTGTTCTTATTAAACTTGTTAATAAATTTAATTAATAAGCATTAATTTAAATTTACTTTGAAATTGAATTAGTTATATGAAAATTTAAAACCTCTTCTAATTTTTAGTGTTTATACATCTATTTATTTTTTGCATCTGGTGTAAATCTAGTTCAACCTTGTTTGTACCTTTTGACCTTTTTTGGTTCAATGTCCAAGTTTCAAGATGCTTTTTTCTCATAACCAACATCTCCGAGGAAAATCGTAATTACTAAGATTAAGCAAAATAACACTGCCGTAGTTGTCATTTTTTACAGCTGCTTCATTTGGCGGCTTTACATGCTCTATATATTGTTTCTTCTTAAGTGTTGCTTTCTTAATTTGCACGTTTTCTTTTTGTATTGAGTTCCTTCTCCAATTTATTTGCTGAAAAGTGATTATGGAAATATTTCCTTGTAGCTTATTTCCTAGTCTAATTAGGAATCAATATTTTCCCTTTTATTATAAGATTTTATATTCTTTTATTTTTCTTTTTCTATTGATAGGATTGCACTCCTTTATTATAGGATTCATTATGTAATAAATTACTTTGTCTAAATTGCAAGTTGGTATAAGAGGAAGCTTGATCCATATCAATTTTGGCTGTATCATCTATCATTGACGAACCTTTATCTCTAGCAATCCTCTAACTTGCATAGGCTTGGGCATTAGCTGGGTCGGCCTGAGCATTTCAATTCTTGAAACTATTCATTGCACTTCGAATATTTCGTTAATAAAACTTTTCAGGTTCGCATTACTATTTTAATCGAACTTGACCTTGATGGTTTTGGTTTGGGTTTGGGTTCAGTACTATTCATAATATATATATTTTTAAATATGTGAGCGGACAATACAAGTAATCTTTTCAATATCTAGCAGAAATATAAGAAATAATATACATCATCAAACAATATCCAATATCTACCAAAATATTCCATCAAATGGCATCCAAATATCTAGCAAAATATGCCATCAAATGGCATCCAATATCTAGTAGAGCATAACACCAAATTACATATCTAAAGAACAAATTAAAAATTAGAAACCGGTAAAAAGGAGTACTAGATTCTACAAATGCTAAAAAAAGTAAATTTATTTAGTTGAAAATGACATAATAATTAGCATTGTCAACTTTTTTTCCATCTCATCATTTCCTTTTGCATCCTATTAGGTCATAGGGCCAGTGTGAATAAATTGTGCTCACTCCGCCTCATAAAAATAGTCCTTTTTTTTTCACACAGATTAAAAAATTTAGTTAATTATAGTTGAAATAATAAATTTTACTATCATTTTTCCTAATATATCCTTACGTTAATGCAATCAGTATAATTAAATTGTATGTGATAACAAAACATATTAAATATTGGCATATTAGGAAACTAATAGATTAACTATTCTCTCAAATGAGAAACAGGACTATAATTTGGGACATGCGAAAAAGGAAAACAGGATTATCTCTATGATATGGAGGGAGTAAAAAATATAAATTTATAAAAAAGAACAAACTTGGTTTCAGAGTCGGTATCTCCAGTGTTGGTTCAAGAACCAAGAATCATTCAAGAATTGATCAATTGTAGATTTCGGTTACTAATATTTTTTGAAATGAATTGGAACGTCTAGTTTCGATTTGAGAGGTTTAGTTCATTAAAATGTCAATCCTTAATCCTGTATCTCACTTCGGCAAACCTCAATGTCTATCTTGCTTTGACGAACTTCTATCCTTCATTTCGCTCCAACTAGCCTTTACCCTCTATGTCACTCCGATGATCCTCTACCCTTGAGCCTATTTTTGAGTGATTTTGAGAATTGATTTTTTGACCGTTAGGAGAAAAGTGGGTCCACCTGTGAGAGGAGTTAAATATGACGGCTGGAATAGTGAAATAACGGTCAAAAAATCAATTTTTTAGACCAAAAATACTACTAAATAGGCTGTAGGGTGATAACTTGCAAAAATTCAAGAATAAACCAAAAAAAGAAAGGGAAGAGAGAGAGAGAGAGAGAGAGAGAGAGAGAGAGAGAGAAACCAAGAGCTCTCATCTTTCTGCCATATATTGTAATGTTCAAAAATTGTAGAATAGTTCTGTACAAGATTTTTTTCGCAAATTGTAGAAAGGACCCATCCTTGCAAACTCTAGGTTGATTTAACATTTTCAGTGAAGTCTAAGTTGAACTTAAAACCTTAGTGAAGTATCCTTGCCCCATATGTAACCTCTCTGCTGTGTTGACCTATGCCTTCCATGGAGCCATTCCCTAGGCAATGCAACGGCTCTTCCTGTGTTAACCAGGCTTCAGTTAGGTGTGCGAAGGCTAGACAAGCTTCTACGTGTGCAAAATTTTTTGTGTATGAATCCTTCTCTTTGTGTGAAGACCGCTCATGCTAATTTTCAACCAGTCATTGACAACCTCGTGTTGTAGTTGGAGCTATTGCAAATCTCCATAGTTGCTGTGCCTGCCTCTCAACCCTGGTTGGATTCTCTGTATGGCATTGAGTTTGGACCTCAGATTTGGGTATTGTGGTTATCTAGTCCTTGTTTGTGCTCCATTGTAATGTCATTTTGGGAGGAAATGTATTTTGGAGTAGTGATTTTTTAAAGAATGTGTGGTTAAAACATAAAGAGAAGTTTTGATTTTATGTGTAATATTATTTTATTGAAAAATGTGTGATTCAAAAAAAAAAGAGAAAAATGCATTAAAATTAAAATTGAGCCTAAGCACGGGCTTTATTTAGGTTGATGCTTGTTATGGTTATTTTTCAGCTTCTTCTAGTTATTTGGACTGCCTTCATTAATTTGATTGTGGGTGGTAAATATTTCAGAAATTATTCTCCTCTATTTTTAAAAATTGTAATTTTGAAGTTTACCAATTATGCAACTTGATCCTTGAGGTTTCAAAATCTTGCATATTAGCCCCTGAGCTTTCAAATTTATGAATGTTGGTCCCTAAGGTTTTAGAATCTTGCATATTAGTCGATGAACTTTTGAAAAACTTAGATTATCTAAAATTTCGAAGTAGAGAAAGTCCGTGATGTCTCTATCCGTGACAAATTGATTCATAAGCTTTAGTATAACCGTAGTTCACCTCCTCGTTGGTCTAGAGACCTCTCTCCATCATCCTAATTATGTGTGATTGCTGTTCCCTTGGAATGCTATTTATTTGGTCGGGATTGATTTTATGGTGTTGTGATTGAGTTGTTTTTGGTCGGTTCTTGAAGTATCAAATATTAGATTCCTATTCAAAAGTTTTTTTTGCTACAAATATTGTTGGACCTTCTACTACCTCTAACCTTTTGGTGGTTTTGAGATTAAAATTCAGTGATGCATGACTCTTCATATTAGCTCACCAAATTGTTTGGTCGGGATTATTTTCTGTTCTTGCTGCTAGACACCCTCTGAAATTTTTTTCAGTTATGCATGACTTCTCGTATTGGCTGACCAGCCCTTTGGTACTCCTTAGTGGTTTGACAGATTGGACTTGTCTACCTCTATTTTTCCACGGAGACTATATATATAGAGGGTGAAGTACCTTCTTGTGGTGGTCGACCCTCCCATTTGAAAACCTAAGATCTGTCTACCCCTTTCAGTTTTCATTGTGCATTCGTAGCTTTTGCTATGTGTGCAAGCCTTCTAGTTAATGGGATAGGTTTTTGGCTTTCTATTTGTCGATTATTTGCTGATGTGTATGAAGGGCTTTGCTGTTTTTGAAGATTTTGCTCCCTCTTGTGCATGCTATTTGTGCATGAGTTTCCATCTTTTGGTGATGATTTTATGGTATTCGTGTATCTTAAGTAATACGTCGTGCAAGACAATATAACTAAGGGGACGATTGGAACCAGTAGAGAATGGGAGGTTTTTAATACTTGGAGTTGCAATCAGGGTCGAGTAACGGTTTTAAAATAGCGGGCTATTCTATACATCATCATTTAAGTTGAGCACGTGAGATATCGACACACTAACTTGAGAGGGAGAGTTAGAATATGAGTTATGGAAATATTTCTTTCTAGCTTATATGTTAGTCTAATTAGGAATTAATATTATTCATTTTTGTATATGATTTATATTCTTTCCTTTTTATTGCCTTCTATTACAAGGATTGTACTTAGGGTTGGCAACGGTTCGGTTATGGGTCGGTCCGGCCAAAATCATTACCGCACCACCAATTTTTGGACCATACTATAACCGCACCATAATCACGTAAATCGGTTCGATTTCGTTCGGTTCGGCACGGTTCGGTTCGGTTAATAACCACGAAAATAAATTATTTTTTTTAGGTTCATCTGTCAAATTGATATAAAACAATTTATGAAAAAAGTCAATGAAAACAAAAACACAATATTCAAAACGAAAATGCAAACATTATCCAAAATTTCAATTGTAAAATACAAATTTAATAAACAATCTTATAAATTTAACAATACTAAATTTTTCCTTCATTCTTAATTGTTGTGCATCGAAGTTACTTGATTCATTCTTCCCCACAAGTTTTACTAGTGTAGATCAACACTCAAAGTTGATTCATATATAGTAAATAAGAAATTTAAGTAGAGAATAAAACGATACTACCTATTCCAGAATAGTCTTAACTAAGATTTAAATAAAAAAAAAATTTACCTCTTCGTCAGCTTCCTTCTCGCTAAACGTTGCACAAGCTCAAGAGTATGATGAAGAAGTAGAATTTTCTACCCATAATAGAAAAAAATTAACAATAAAAGGAGCTGTGCGTGAGTTTGTGGTCTGTGGAGAGTAGGGTTTGCATTTATATACTGTTATACTAATGCTATTATTATGGGTTAATGGTAAGTGGGTTGGCCGGCTGAGTCATTTAGATGTAATGGGGGGATTTTGTTTTGGACTAGATAGAAAAGTAGTGTAAAGCTCAATAATCAATTTTTTTTTTTTTTTTTTTTTTTTTAAAAGCGGTAATCGGTTCGGTTTTGGTTCGACGGTGTAAATACCATACCCGCACTGACACGAACCGGTTCATAAAAATAAAAACTATATCCGCCCCATTGCACCATCGGTTCGATTTTTTTCGCCCCATTCGATTCGGTTAACCGCTGTTTTCGATTTTGACGGTTCAAATTGCCATCCCTAATTGTACTCCTATAGATAGGATTGATTGAGTATTTAATAAATATTTTCGCCTAAATTTCAAGTTAATGCATTAGGTCTAAATCAAAGGTCTTATCTCTTATTTTGGATAGTTAAATGTATCTTTTCTAAATTTGGTGGTCGATCAAGCTTGATGAAGTGGTCTTTCATGTACCCTAACACAAATAAATTTCACGTTTATTTAATTGATTATTTGGAAAACTCAAGCCAAGATTTAAACCTAGTCACAATGGTGAATGAATAAGCAGCATTTTAGTGGTTTACTGCTTTTTGAATTGGATAGCTCTTAGAAGAGGGGAAAAAATACATATTAAATTAATTAGAGGAGGATGTGTAGGTTCAACAACAAAAGGAAACTAAGTCTACTAAACAAACTTGATGTGGTTTACGTCAATGCCTTTTTGCCATTCTTTTCAATCCACAGTTATCTCTATTGAAAGGTCTAATGAAATCTAATACTTTGCAGTTGTCTGATGCCATGTTTAGTTTAGGTCACCTATCCTTCTTTTAGACATTTTCCCTGTTTTTGGCCTTTTCTGAAAGCAAAGTGGCTTTCACGTTGTACTTCTTTGTAAAATAACCATTTTAATCTGTTTTGCATCATAATGCTTGTCCTTGGATTGCCAAAAATTAGCAAAATGTTGGAAATCTTGTTGGAACACGTATGTCCGTGTTATGTACATGTCATAATGTGTTTGTTTCCGATGTATTTTGGACTTGGACAGCTGTCGATACTCTGGATCCAGGCTGGCTTCAGAATGTTCATCAATTTTCTTTGTAACGTTTGTCGATTTGTTAACCTTTCTTTTGCTTCCTTTGGTGGCTGGTTAATGGAAGTGTGTAGCAGATGTCATGCTGAGAATAAGAGAGAGATATTGAGTCTAGATGTTTATGACAGCTGGCTATCCACGTGCAGCATTTTGTCTAAGACAAGTAGATCCTGGCATCCTGCTTGCTTATTTATCTTGTTGTCTGCATAGTTAATTTATTAACTAAATTGCCTGCAGAATATAGTTCATCGGATCTCAATGAAGATTATTTGGGTTCTAATTTGTGTTTTGTACTTGCCAATTGTTTGTTCTTATAGCTGTGAATTTATGTGCATCAACTGCTAAGATTTTGAGAAGCACAACCAGTCTTTCCACAATGTTTTAGACTATCATTTGTTTGGATATGTGGCCATATTAGCATTTACTATTACTATTTGCCTTGCAGGATGTAACAGCTACTAAAGGAAATGAATTTGAAGACTACTTTTTGAAGCGCGAGCTGCTTATGGGAATATATGAGAAGGGATTTGAGAGACCTTCTCCAATTCAGGAGGAGAGTATTCCAATTGCTCTCACTGGAAGTGATATCTTGGCTAGGGCAAAAAATGGAACTGGGAAAACTGCTGCCTTTTGCGTTCCTGCCCTGGAGAAAATTGACCAAGATAACAATGTTATTCAAGGTTTCCTTATTTATTTGATACTTCTTGTGAATATGGCATCTCTATACCCTACCTTGTCGAATTTGACTTCTTTAACAGAAGAATGTCAGGGAAGAAGAATTGATTCAAATTCAAGAATGGGTGCAAATTAATTCTTTTTTTTTTCTCTTGTGAAAATGAGAGCTTATTGAGAGCTGAAATTGAGTTTAAGATAAATGAATTAGTGATAGTTGCTACCACTATTTTTTTCCCAAGTTAGAGTCGACTCAGTTATGCCATTACATGATATCCTTTTAAAAAATCATATGAAGATGTTTATTTGGGATAGCAGATACGGATAGTTACAAGATTGCTCTTAGTCATTTACATCACATATACTCATTAATGCAGTATCTGAGTGAACTTCTAGACAATTAATTTCTCAGTTTGACCTTTTCTCATTTATTGGCTCCAGTTATATCTTTGCTACGATCAGTTTTTAAATTATTCAGTTCTAATATTGCATCTTTCCAATTTGCACTATTGCAGTTGTTATTCTTGTCCCAACACGAGAATTAGCTCTTCAGACATCACAAGTTTGCAAAGAGCTTGGGAAGCATCTAAAAGTTCAAGTCATGGTTACAACTGGTGGAACTAGCTTAAGAGATGACATAATGCGTTTGTATCAACCAGTTCACTTGCTTGTTGGAACTCCAGGGAGAATCCTTGATCTTGCTAATAAGGGTGTTTGCGTTTTGAAAGATTGCTCTATGCTTGTGATGGATGAGGTATGAAAATGTTTTGATATATCTTTATTTTCGCAATTAGCTCTCTATTTTATTTATCTATCTATTTTTTTTGAGGATGAGTCAATCAAATTAGAAGTGAAATGTTATTGTTCTTTTATCAGTATTTGTTATTGGGAGGCTGGAAGCATTCCTTACTAGTTTCCATTTCTTCAGCACCACCAACCCCTCCCCTCCCCTTCCCCTCGGTTTAACTCTTATCCTCAGAGGGGGGGGCGGGGGGGGGG